CTATACGACCCCTGAAGATACCAATGAATGTATCATAATTCAAGGACCGGCTTTCTATGAAACTCGGCGTAAATGGTTGGTATATTTATTTATATGATCTTATGAACTAATCTTGTTGAGCTGATGCAAAGTTGGTACAGGTCTTCGTTGTCGTTGCTGTTGGTCTTGCTCGTCGGTGGCTGAGGTTTCGGCGATTTCGTCTTCCACAGAGCCTAGAAGTATTTTATGTAGCAGTAGTCTTATTTTCGGTAGAATGCTTATACTATTAATGAAGATCAATCTTTCAAATAAGCACTATATTGATCAAAAAGGCCACTCAACGTGCTGTTACGAGTAGGACTGGTCCACGAGTTGTTCACGTGGGCTCGCCACCGAGACCCACTCAGATTATTATTTTGAAACAAGGCACTAGGTCACATGCTATAGTGAAGTATTCGTTTTTCGGTTATTCCTTGGGTTTTTGAAATTTATCCAAAACGCTTCGAGAGTCTCGAGAGTCTTGCGTGTTGATGTTTCTGATTCCCTCGCTAGGATCCCGACACTTACTTCAAAATCATCGCCATTGGGTTTTTGTGCCCTATGCGTACCTAGAGGAGTGCTTGGACGAATTTCCACTTTTCCTTCTAGGTGTTCCTTCATGCGGACGAAAAGTGTTCTACTCGTTTCTCCAATGTATTGCTCACCGCATTCGTTCGTTATATGAGATCTACCTACCTCTACCGTTAGGACGGATCGCACAGTTTTCTGAGCTGCACAAACGATCATAGGGACAATTGCGAACTAACTGACGGCGTTGGGCATTTGATAGGAGGTCAGCAATCGCTACATTATTTTCAAGACCACTTTTTCTTAAGCACCTCTTGATGGCGTAACCTATTTTATTTGATATGAAGGGCAGCTTAGAAGGGATCTTACTTACGTTCGAAACAATATTTTCGGGAACAATTCTGCGTTTTTGTCTGACCCGAGTGGCTTCCTTTTCGTGACCATTCGAAGTGGCTATTTTTTCCTCCAGATTTAGGAACTCCTTCTTTTCTTGTTTTCCTGTGCACGCATTTTTAGCCACCCGTTACTTGTTTTTGATGTGTGCTTTTTTCACGTGCGAAGAGGGGGCGTAGTGAACTTGCATATTTTTACTACCTGACTTACTACACCACTTTGTTATATAGCCACTTTCTAAGAGCTTAATTCGAATTTGCCATTAATTTGAAGGTTTAAAAATGGAAACCAGTTTTTGGTTAGTCTTTCCCGTGTGAGTTCAATATACTCTAACTGTCTGTTTAACAATTCGAAGCACTCATCCATCTGTTCTTGTGAACCAGACAATCAGAGTATATAAAATTCACAGGAAAAGACCAGTCGAGAACTGGATTCCATTCTTAAACCATTCAAATAAAGTTTTTAGAAAGTGGCTATACGGTTAGTGGTACATATAGAGCAAAAACCGCAATAGCGATGGTTTTGAAGTAACTGTAGATATTAGCACAGAAATCGAAAACATCAGCGCGCCCGACTCTTGCAGCGTTTTGGATAAATTTCAAAAATCCACAGATGAAGCGGAAAGACGAACCCCTCACTGTCGAATGCAACCTGGCGTCTTATTTTAAAATGATATTCCAGCCCCTTAGAGGGTACTGCTCGCTACCCCACATGAACAGCTCGTGGGCCAGTCTCACTCGTAACAGCAAGGGGAGTATCTTTTTAAACAATATGGCGTTTATTTGAAAGTTTGATCTTCGCACCTTAAAACCGCGTCCGGTACTATAGTCGGTGGTGGATGCGCACGATATTCCTAAATAATCGAATTCGGTAATCGAACTACCTAGTGATCTGGTTATAGTGGAGAAAAGTTAAGGAGTAGTAAGCTATTCCACTACGCTGTCTCTAGGCTTACCATGCTGTCATCAATTCTTGCAACTTTATGAGAAGCCTCTAGATATTACTAAAATCGAATTCCGATGGGAGAAGAAATAAAACTGTACAACAAATTACGGTGATTGCAGCGTGCAGTCGTATCCAAGAGACCAGAGCTGTCATCATTCTTTAGACTAGAACGGTTTTATTTATTCTGAACATTTTTATTGTGAGGTATAATATGAAGGAAAAACAGCGTTATAATACTTCTTATTAAGAGATTCACTATTGCAAGATATTATACGGTTATGAATCCAGGTCAACGTTTCAGATAGGCGATTTTCAGCTGTGCTCAGCTAACTCATCGAACATCTTCATAATAGGCGGCTTAGCCGTTGCTGTTCTACCAGTACAAATTGTTTGCTTGCTTAGTTGCTATTTGTTTGGCTATCAGTCATCGAAGTTCAAAGGGGTCAATAGACGTCATAAACAGGTTTTTTACTTTTTTTATTTTTATTTGACCCGTCTTGACGTCTACCGTGCGGATCCCAACACTTCTCACATTCGATTCGTTTCCTCGAATCCATTGTTCACGAAGATCTACCAACTTTACGTGTGGCTTCAGCTGCTGCTTGACGATTTTTTATTTGAACTTGAAAGTCTTATAATGCTGGTCTAGCAGTTTTTTCTGAAGTGCTGATATAGCCGGGCTGGAACGTTCTCAACTGGATTGAACAGATATATTTATTTATGTGATCTTATAAACTGATCTTCTTAAGCTGACGCGAGGTTGGTACAGATCTTCGTTGTCGTTGTCGTTGTTTTTGATGTTTTTGAACGATGGCTGACGTTTCGGCGACTTCGCCTTCCTCAGAGCCGTGATGTTATGTGCGGGACCTCCCAAACCAACCTCTCTTCAGCTTAAGAAGATCAGTTTATAAGATCACATAAATAAATATATCAACTATCTATGCCGAGGTTCATAGAAAGTCGGTCTTTCGAGTTATTGGATTGAACAGAGTTATTTTTTTCCCCACACAAGTCTGGTACGGAGGTATGAGAGGCTTGGTTGGCCCGGAGCGGGATCGAACTAGCACTATGCTCATGACGGATTGGTTATTACTCTTTCTAAATCTCTGAAAATATGAAGTATGCAGAACTTTTCGTTCAGACTTACTCTGTTAGTCGGGGTTGAAATCTAGAGATTGGCAGAGAAGACGTTTGTTGTCTGGCGTGCTCGTCAAATCAGGGCCTACCAAAACATTCTTGAGATAGTTGGTTGTCGTTAAATAGAAGCTTACAAAATAATACCTTACTGCTTCTACCGGTGGTAAGTTTAATGATGCTTGGTTTGATGTTGTTCTTCAATAAGCAGACACGCAATTGATATTATAGAATTTATTAGGATACAATAGCTGACCTTTTGGCGGCACGAAAAATTTCATTTCTTATCACATCAGTATCACATTTTGTTATTTTGTTATTGGGTGTGGTTACACAAAATGGCAGTTGATAAGGAATAGCCAGGACCAAAATAAACTGTGAGTCATTCGATTTTTTGTTTGCCCTATACTATTGAAAAGGATAGAGTCGCCTATAGCGTAAATAGGAAGGTGGTGTTTATTTACCTTTTCTGACTTTTAAGCCAAAACGAGGTTGATAAAGATGTTTGTTCAGGTAAAATTTCGACGGCTACGTCTTCTTCAGAGCCAATGATCGGTGTCGACCTGTCACCACATGTGGGCACCTCAGCACTTCTTTCATTCGGATCGCTTTCTACCGTCCCTTATCCACTAAACTCTTTCGATATGTGGGTTTCGCTGATGCTTTCCAGCTTTTGCTTTCTAACTCTAGTACAACTGTTTGACCTCAAAAGGGGTGGATGCTTGCCAGATGGGAGACGAAACCGAAATGGACGGCACATTCCCCAGAAATAAATGGTCGTGAGTGTTTTTCTCGCTGTTTTTTCACTATTATAATAAACCTTGAAAGATTTTAACTACATACAAGTAAAGTGACAATAAAATAAATAAGTAAGCGAATCAGTAATTAATCAGTAACAATGAAACCAGTGTTTGTAGCTTGCCAAGTTTCCACTGGGTAGTCCCGTCAAGATACACACCTCGTCATCGTGACTGTGGATACAACTATGGGTCAAATAACCATGTAAACCAGTGGTTTAACTTGTCGCAAATCTTACGAGGTACGTAAATTCAACTCCACAAAGAACAAGCCTACACGAAGATCAAATTCGGTGGAAGCTCTACATGTATTTACCGACAGAATACCAAGTGAAGCAGGAGTCCCATATTATTACGTGTGTCAAGACCCGTGCACTCCTCCAGAGAGCAGATCTCACTCAATAGCTCGGATAAGCGGGAGAAGCGAGTGGAGACTTTCTCAGCGACCCATATCTTGTTATTCGGGAATAAGACAAGAAATATTGCCAGATTCCAAATGTCTAAAAGTGTGCTCGATTACTCAACAGATTTTTTATTAAATCTCAAAATATGGAAGTATTGTAAACAAGAATATTTCTTAACTGCTTGTCAAAGAATAGTTAGTTCATTAATCCTTACATCCTCTCAACCATCCCAAAAACTCTGTATCTGATATTTATTCTTAAGCTTATTGACCCTCATGAGACCTTGTCCTTGTTCGAATAATTTTTTCATAAAAGAACAAAATGAGTGGGGACCGATCGTTGACACTTTTCTGCTTTCTTTGTGTTTCTTGAGTTACCCATCTAGGAATTTCTTCAATTTCAACGTAACCACATTTAAAAATAACGATTTTATCAAATATCAGTAACAAACACATCTCATCATAAAATATCGCATATAGATTTGACTATGAGCGCAAAGCTTAGGCACTTTGCTTGACAGTGATAGCGAGAGAGAGACGGTAGCTAGTCGGAGAGCAGATCCCGACTGAGAGCACAGACTGATCGTGGGCGTTTTGGCGGCCAATAACAGGCGTTAAGGATGTTGGTTACCTAGGTCAGCAGCTGGCGGTACAATAACATACGGAAGTGAAAACCGATAAAGACAAGCTTTCCTCTTAACAGATAGTAGAGAAAAAATAATAATAGCAGGACTAAGTGGATTTCTGATCATATGCCGCCGTTGCTATGCAATGCTGAGCAATTAGATGCCAGTCTGAATGGTCTTCTGAGTGTGTGTGGCTCGTTCTTCGCCTTCTTTGTTGTAGAGCGACGTTACGACATTCGCTCCAATACCCCACGTATTCTCGCCTTCGAATACTAATGATTCGGGAGGATTATTGATGCCACCTTGATCGCGTGCATAAATCTGAAATCAAGTAGCGATTTATGGCGTCAGCCGCAACTGAAGAGGATTCCACCGTCTCAATATAATATGATTCGAACATCTCTACGACGAAGTGGATGGCACACAAAAGCAAAAGCTTGCTAAAAATCATTCCATTTCTTAATAGTTGCTTACCTTCATAGTTTTTCCAGCTTTCAATGTGGTGTTCGCAGGAATGGTGAAAACTATCTCACGTCCCTTGTCCAACTTCCTCTTCAGTTTATGTTCGCCAAGATTTTCGTCCTGAAAAAAGAAAAAAATTTGCAAAAACCAGAAAACGAAGTTAATTTTCTATGAAATAATGTGCAGTGGGCCCTACGTGTATGAGAATCATTTTCGCGTTTGGATGAGGCACCATTAAATCAGTTATAACTACGAAGAGACTAGAATGGACCATCGGAACAGTGACATACCAAAGTAATTCGTATAATAGCAAACTACTATTCTATTTTAGAGGTAATAGCTGTTGCAATGTAGCCCAAAGAAATAAGAGCGTGCGCCTCAATAATATCTACTCCAAATTTTGCCCACAATTTTCTAGACGTGCTTGCGAATAAAGAACCTACCTTAGTTCTGTGTGTGTTCTCGAGTGTGATAAATTTACCGTTCGGATCGCACTCAGCGATGGTGACATTTCCCTGAAATAACACCGAATGTTCGACGAAGTTTATAATTCAGAACGACCAAAGGAAGTCTCAAATTCTGCCAACAAACAAAAATATCTAGAACAGTGAGTACCAGAACGCAACGCCATTTTCCCATCAATTACTATGACTGTGTTCAACTATGAAAGAGCACTTTAAATCACATTGAACAGAGCTATGATTATCTGTGAACTTCTAAAATCTTTAATATGTATATCAGTGTAACCCAGGACACAAGCGGAAGAGCTGAACCATTGTCGTCAAGTTTGCAAAGATTTGATTAAGCAGAAAAAAAGTGGAATATATCAAAAATAGGCTAAAACAAAGAGTGGAGCTGTGGAACTGTAGATACCTTGGCAGAACGCTGGAATGTGGTTTTTGTGGAAACTTCTCCTCGAACTGAACGGGTCGAATCAGTGTCTTCTTGTTGTTGTAGTGAATGTGTCTTCACAACCTGTTCGACCATTTGGCGTAGTCCAACACTGAAAAGTTACGTGTCAAAAGAAGAAAAGACTTCGAACACAACCTTTTTCTTTCTGCTATAGCATATCAGCGTAAACTCTAATTTAATATGCTGAAGGGTGAATGGTTACAAGAAAAATGACTCTGGTTTCTATTGGGAGTAACGTTTACCGCTTTTGTTAACAGATCGTAGCTACACGGCTTTAACTGAAGATCGTCTCAAATCGAATGTTACGTCACTTTTTAGACTTCGAGGTCTACTGTGTTTTGTAACAAAAAACAACTTTTCTGGTGGACATTGTTCCAGATTTACAGGCTTCCGTTCAACATTATACTCCTCCAATTTCATCGACAGGGTAAAGGAAAAAATGGCAATCTCTGAGAAAGAACAATATGCGAAACCATACCGGCTTTCCTCTCCTTCGAGCATCTTTCTGTAGATGGCGATTTCAGCGTCCAGCATTTGTTTAGTGTCGAGCAGAGCTTGTAATTCGGCGACCTGATGAAAACTATACGCTGTCAAAAAGTGGAAGTTGAAATTTGTGCTAGAGTAAAACCCACTAATGTCTGACATTCCTCCCGCATTCTACGAAGAGTTGCATCGCGATCGTTAAGTGCCATCTCGTACTGTCGTTGGTCGTCGCTAAGCTGAAAACCAGCTTCATCGTAATGTTAAAATCGCTTCGGAAGGTTGGACATAGGAAGAAAATTTTACCTGATAATTGAGATTCTGCACTTCCTTCTCCAGTAATGCGTTCTTATTTTCGAGATCACCAAGTTTTCCACGTAAATCACCGATATTGTCTCGCATTCTCTTCACCTCCTCACGTTGATAGTTAGACTCCATTGCGGCCCGATTGGCCGTGCCTTGTACTTCTGACACCTGAACAACGCCAAATTCAGAGCAGTTCACTGATTCATTTGGGAATGATTCAGTTTCTATATGACAATGAAATTTTAATCACTTTTCTATACACAGAATCTTCTCTTTCACAAGTGAGTTTTGGGTTTCTAAAATTTTCAACAACAGTGAATTCAAGTAAGCCATTTGATTGTTGTCCGACTAATGGTCTACTCCAAACTTATCAGTGTCATCTTATTTTGCAATAAATCCACGTCGTCTGATTTCGTACTAACCTTGAGCTTGTACCAGCTCTCCATATCTTGTTTGCCTTGTTTAGCGATATAGTCGTACTCATCCTTGATATCTCTAGAATTCATAGTATCAGAAAAAATTCACGAAGTGTCCAGAAAAAGCTTTATGATAAATCTCAGTTAAAATTATTCATAATAGATTACGAAAATTTCGATTGCTTGCCTATGATAAAAAGATCACTCATGAGCAGAATTATGCGTTTTATCCATTGAATTGCTAACACTCTAGTTCACTTTCATGCAAAGTGACAGTTTTCCATGCGTTAACAGACCACTGGTTACTGTTACTTGACCGGATATTTCAGTGCAATCAAAATCTGGAATTGCTGCGAATGGAAAACAAGCTTGTTTTGCTTTTATAAGCGATTTAAGCTGTGGTTTCACTACAAAACAACCATTGCACCGAACAAACTAGCAAGGAGAGCCAAAATAATCCTTTTCGGGAAGGTTTATTCTTGTCTCATTCCAACTGCCTGTAACATCCTCTTCATGAAAAATGCTTGTTAAGCTTTCCCACTCGACTGTTTCACCAATCAGAGAGCAATGACATTAGAAGTGAAGAGTTGTGGAGAATACACGCATACCTAATAGCCAGTGCAAGCTCATTCTTGAAGAATTCACGAGTGTCGGCTGGAGCTTGTGCAAGAAGAGCCTGCAATTCCTTGACTTCCTGCTCATGAACCCTAAAATGCTCTGTTTCAAGAAGAGACAGAATGTAAGCAATAAAAAGGAAAAATTAGATAGCCGACCTTCGAAGAAATTCGAGTTCCTCCATAAGTGTCTGAACTTGATTCTGGAAATCAATACGACCAATAGTTTCTTCGTCAAGATCCTAAAACGAGATCTTTGCTGATAATGAAGGATAATCCATCGAATTCTAATATTTTTAGAAGAGATGCCGATATTTTCTTTGCACACGTCATCCAAAGCCCAATTTTTCCAACTCTGGAAAAGAACAAAAAAATCCCGTTTATCTTGCCCTTCATTGGCGATGAAATAAGTATAGTGATAAAGCGATGCTTAAAAAGGGCAGAACTAGAAAAATCGGTAATGATAGGTCAACAAACTGCTACCAGATTTGGAAGAGAGGATGGCGGCACTTACTCGATACATCCTTAGATCACCGCAAGTCGTTATACAAGGCAGATATGCATTAAACCACTTCTACGACACATAATAAATTCGAATTCATGGAGTAAATCTCAGAAATTCACTAACGACGAAAGTTTTATCCATTTCTTTTACACCATTTCAGGAAGCGTTGGGACAGAACAAGCTTTTCACTCGAGTCATCCTAAACAGGACTGACGGAACACAGGGCAAAGGAATGATTCTTGAAAATTCAACACTTCACTTAGATCTACTGTGGTAACAGGGAAACTCCGCATTAGCCATATCATTAGTCACTATTCTAATAAAGTAAATTGATGAAATATCAATAAAAAATCATAATTTCTTTTGGTGGAGGCCATTTGTTTTGACAGATCGAAACAGAATAAACTACAATGGACAACGATGAAAATCACGTTCCACAAAGTGAGAAAACTGAGATTTGACCATAACAAACCCTTTTAGCTCACCTCTTTAACTCCGAACAAAAAGGAGACAACTGGCGTATGCAAACAAAATTTCTTACTTAGTGCTTGATATTTGAACGGCTTCACTGGTTGTGCGGACTCTAGCATAATCACCACTTTTCGGAGATTTGCTAGTCAAGCCACTGTGGTTTCCTAGAATCCCGAATTCAGCCTGGCTCGAGTCCGCTCCAGGTCTTCACCACCACAGGCAGTCGCAGCCCTTGTGGATCAGAGATTTGCCACTATGCGACCTTGACAGTAGGGACGGTGGTGGCTCCCCGGCATTGGTTAACTATTAGCTAGGCTTCCTTATGGAAACGTCGGGCTCCCTCTCAACTTGGGAGACCCTGCCGAGGGAGAGACGAATTTTTCGCTGTACATTCCGACTCCCAGGAACACCTCGCAGCCACGATGAGGCGATAAACCGTTGGGAGGTAAATGAAGACTGTTCTTTAACTGCCCTGTTCTTTGTTGAGGCTTCCCTTCTCTGAGGAAAAGCCGCCGCATAACAGACTGCCACCGAAAATGAGCGGGTAACCAGTCAAAGCGACCAGAGAGAATAACAAAATTTTTGAATTTTCTTTTCTGATGTGACACTATGATGCACACCATAGAGGAATTGAAGAAAGTAGATAACAGTGGTACGACGTGTTTAAGAGAATTTTCGATTTCCCAATTAGATAGAAGCAAAAACGTACTATTATTGCTTTTTCACAACCCTGTAATATTGTTACGACAAAGCAGGTTCGAGCTACATCAGAAAGTTGTACAGACGTACGAAGCGAAATCTAGAAACAAACGCACGTTTCTAGCTTTCTGAAGCTCCTCCCAAATACGGGCGTTGTCATTGTTTAATCGTTTTTCTTCGTCACACAATTGCTTCCATCTGAATCCACAGTTGATGTTGAAAAGAGAACAAGTTAGACTTCAGAATTTCATGGCAACTCACCTGGCACGAAGCATTTCCAGCTCATTTTGTGCGTCAGCGATCGCATTCGTCCATTGTGCGATCTTCTCACGATCGGATTCTCGTCTATGCTGGATGTCTTCATAGCTACAATAATAGGATTATCTTTCTAATTCTGTTACCTTCTCAGGAAATTAATGCTCAGCTTTATTTTTGGCCAGAGCAAGACTCAAAACTCTCCACGATTCTTGAAGAAATGAAAATATGAGGAACAACTTTTTCGATACCTCGAGTTTCTCAACTGTCCAAAAATGAAACTGACTCAGATCACCTAATGCAGTTGGACGCGGTTACAAACTATTTTAACAAGTCTGTTTGTAAAACTCACTTTACCCGAGGTTTACTGAAAGTACATTTAAATTCACAGAACGTTTAGAACGGCAAAAAGCAAACGTGTCACGGGTCTGTCTTCCGAAGACCAGAATGAGAGCAGTCAAGATGGGTCAAACTTGCATGCTTCTCTGTCAGAACCGACCAACGACGTCTATCACTAATCCTGCTCGTCTTCCTGTTTATCATTCATGATGCTCAGTAGATGTAAAATCGTCTACAGCTTAATGACTCATGAATGAACGGTTCAAATATCATTGTAAACCGACTTTCATTTAACCTTGGTAAAGGTGATCATTGTACCTCGTTCGAAAGGTACAGCAAGGGTACAAGGGTACAAGCAAAGTACGCTAAACGATTCTAAGCGAAAAGCTAAAGCATTCATGCCTTAGATCTGCATAGTTTCTCAAGTATGACTAAATGAAGCTCACTATCGTACCACTATTAATTTGATATGTCCATAAAGAATTTCTTATCAGACTTCTTCCTTTTCTTAAACTTTTCTAGTATTTCTATGCGACTTAATTTTATAGCACTTTTGCAAGAGGTCGCTCTACTCCTTCGCAAGAGAGTTGAAAAAGAAGACATGCTATGTGCACTGATACGTTTCCTTCCTCATTCTCTACTTTCATTTCCAACAAGAACCAAAACCTTATGGATAAAGTTCTTTCTCTATGCAGATTATAGCACTATGATGATCCTAGCGTCAATTGCTCCCATTCATTTCATTTTCATTTTTTTCCATAAGAAATTTTTTTTTCCTCCTCTTCTTTTCGTTTCGTCGTCGACAAACATAATTTTCTCGTAATTTCACTCTTCAGTGCTACATTTTCACTTTTTGTGTGACGGAAAGAATCTTTGAGATAAAAATGTAAACAAAAACAATTAGATAACGTTCTCGATAGACATTAACGAAGAAAAGAAGATGACTAACAGAAGCATAGCACTAAACTGTGGATGTCACAAATTAGCTACCCTTCCAGACGTTTCTCGGTCATTTTCGATGGTCTTTTGCAAACCTCACAATCACGACACCAATATGGGTTTCGTCTCGAGTCAAGGTTTGAAACATAACTATGTTGGCCCAGATTCACTTATTCTAACCCCCAATTTTTTCTGAATTAGTTGCGTATGCAGTGGCTCTTAACGCTCACAGATAGCACAAAACTCGAATAACAACGAACTGGTTTCCGCTCTACAAATCATTTCACGATCGCGCGCACCAAAAGATGCACGCGTGCAGAAACACACGCCCACGAATGAATTCGGTCTCTAAGTGACCAATACCGTTCTACTAATGAACGCGAACGGTAACACCAACGCTAACAGCACGGTAATAAGTGTATTGGGTCATGGAGACGACGAAAAATTTCGAACGGCCGTACTCACCGATTCCGATATTCAGCAAGGTCATCACGAAGACGTGCCACTTTCACATCGATTTCGGCCTTTCGTCTAGCCGAATCGTCGATGTCCTTTCTAGCTGTTGACAATGATTCCGAGTACTTAATCTACAAAAAAAAACAAATAAATTCACATTTAATTTGCGGTATTAAATTATTTGAATATATCTTTCTACTTCTGGAAAGCGGCTCTGAGGAAGGAGAAATCCGCCGAAACGTCAGCTTGTGCGTAAATAAAGAAATTAAATTATTTGACTCTAGTTGGCCATATAAAAGAGCGCGTGTGGAGCAGTGATCGGAAGGAGCTTTCAACACGCACGTGGAATCGAACTCCGGGCCCATGGCCCACCAAACCATTCATCTGTCCTGGGTGCACGAATCTCTACCAGACTTGTCTGGGAGAATAGTAGCACTAACTCGATACATCGGTAGGCCACCGCGAGTCATTGTAAAGGAGGCCAGATTTGCATCCAATCACCTCCAAGCAATGCTTAATAAAGTCGAGTGCAGGGTGCATCCCTCAGCGATTGATCAGCATCGAGAGCTTTCTATCCTTTTTAGTTGGCTATAATGCTATTACATGATAATGGCCTACACCGAGTGCAAAACTCGAAACTTTTTAATTTTTTGTCTCCTACTTTACTACCTTTCATTGTCCACAGTAATATGAACATTAGTATACAATTTCTTTGAGGAAAATAAACACCACTGACCTTAATTTCTGAAGTGTCTTTTCCCCATTTCCCTCGTAGTTCATCAAGATCTGCAACAAGTTTTCGATTCTGTTCCTCAAGGCGTTTCACACGGTCGATGTAGTTTCCAAGACGATCATTCAAGCCCTAAAATTTATTCGAGGTTATCAAACCCTGCAGCGTTTGCTTCGGTAAGGTAAATACACAGCAGGGAGTCGCAGTGCTCTCTCATCACCTCAGTAATTTCCTGAACTTGGATGTTGGTTCTGGATTTGACAGCATAACGAATACAATAAGAAATTAACTCTTCAAATCTGTGTAAATCTCACTGGTCCGTTATGAAGTATTTCAATAATTTAAAAATTCAAACTCTTTTAGCCTGGAGACATCTACTGTGCAAAGATACACTAACGATTTAGTTCACTTAAAACAATTCGTTGAAATTCGGTTCCTATTATGCAAGATCTTACGAAAAATCTACTCACAGTTGACTACGTTGAGCACATCTTTACACTTTTAGTAAAATCAGTGATTTGTAAATTTATATCCCATTCATAAATTTCAGTGTTTAGAAGGGAAACAAAAATTATTTAAAGATCCTTTCTTCATAGAGCTTCGTTAAAAAGCACTTTCAACATCGTCACACCTGCAGTTCTTTCTTTTCTTTGTCGGTTGCTTCCAGGAAAGATTTGGCGGCGTTAGCAGAAAGAGCTGGTGAGATGCCGCCAATGGTAGCAGAGCCCATCTCCGTCACCATCTTCAGCACTCTTCCTAAACCACCCAATTTCATCACTGTGCTATTCCAGATTTTTTAAGAAAAAATTCCTCGTGGTTTTTAGAGTTTTTTCTCTCAATGAAACTTTATTGTGAGGCAGTTCTGTTGCGGCACTCATTCCAATAATGCTCGCCTCGTCATCGAAAGTATTCGTCATTTCTGTTTCACATAAATAATGCCCATCAGTAAAGAATACTTAAACCTGTTCCGAGTTTCTAATGATACACAGAATGGCATGACTTGAAAAAAAAGAGAAAAGCACTAGCTTTTTGATAGTAAAGGAAATCAAAACCCCACACTTCATTGTCACGCCTAAGGTTGAAATGTTTTTAAATAATTAAAAGTGATAGAAACATAAAAATGCCTTTTTCTATTTATGAACTGTTTTCTTCTTTAATCGCTTCGCGGTTTCTTCCACATTCCGATGCAGGACGGTTAACATTCAAGATGTCGTTTTCTTGTTCAGCAATCGCGAGGTTTTCAAACAGCATACATTTACTTCCATAGAAGAACACAATACAATACAACACTAGCTGACGTTTCAGCAGTATCGCCTTCTTCAGAGTCGCTTTTTCGTGACTTCCAATGAGTGACTTTCGTGACTTCAATGGAAGTCACGAAAAAGCGGCTCTGAAGAAGGCAATACTGCTGAAACGTCAGCTAGTGTTGTATTGTATTGTGTTTTTCTATGGAAGTAAATGTATGCTGTTTAAAAACCTCGCGATTGCTGAACAAGAAAACGATGATTCATATTCCAATGCCGAGGTTAATAGAAAGTCGATCCTGGGAACTATTGAAGATGTCGTTTATCAAAGTCGACATTTTTTGAAAAGCGTTCAAAATATTAGCTGAATCAACTTTTAGTGAAAGCCGGGTAGAGAATTAGCAGAAATTATAAATATTAAAGGTGTTTACAGAGAAGTAAAAGCCCTTTTTAATGCGAAGCAGGTTAAACACCAGTGAAAAGCCTACACAACCACACTCTGTTTTTCTTGACCTAAGTTTCCAAACGCTGTTTCAAAATGTTTTACAAAAACTGCCAATACATATACCCGGATGGTGTAGTGGTGAAGTGCGCTGCTCCCCGGTAAGGACAACAGCGCGTGTTCGTTCCCCACTGCATACACCTGTGGTCCGGAGTTTTGCAAATATCTCAGCACTTCATACGAGTTATATGTCACAACATACCCTGCCATTAAGAAGAAAAAGGCAGTAAATAAAAGAGTTAAGACTGCCAATACATTCCAAACTATTTATAATCTGGTTTGAAAAATAACTTTAGGAAGAACTATCTCCTTTTGTGAACAAGCCGGTAAAGTAGAAATATTTTTGAACCCACCGGTTGTCGTTAGATGTCTGTTCGACATGGGTCACCTGAAGCAAAATCTTCTCGGCAAAAATAATCCGAGAAAGAAAATCTACTAGGATGAAAGTCCACTTAGTAAAAAAACCCATGGAATAACTCAAGTAGTGACCGTATGCGCCTGCTCATGTAGCTGATCGTCATTGGTTCCAAAATAGACATCAGACTGTACGTGTAAGACATTTAGATGAAAATAATTGAACGTCTCTGTTCATTTTTTGTTCTCATCGATTTTTATTCAAATAGAGAAATACCAAAAATAAGAAACTGCTTAGTATTGTCGGAAAAACTAATACTAACTAGGGAATCTCAAGATGAGAAAAAGACCTTCGTAGGACTTGTAGAACTGTGCAGCAGCGTGCTTGAGAATGTATAACGAACCTCCAGAACTTGGAAGGCGAGTAACCGGAGTCGTTGCTGTGTCGGTCATTCCCGTATCGTCGCACTCGGTTGGACTGATAGGTAGATGGTTTGGGTGACAGACCGGACACACACCCACATACACACCCAGTAAGCGTTAGTGTGGTCGTCGTCGTCATCGTCGTCAACAGCGAGAGCAGTAGAGAAACACAGACGGAGAGATATTCCCAGCCCATAACATTACCTAACATCCAAGGTCTTTCTTTCGTCCTCAATATCGTCCTATTCTTTACCTTATCGATCAACATCGATCAGTAACTGCGATTGCCTCTGCGATGTGCAGATTTACGAGCTCCGCCCAACCTCAATGTGAAACACACTTCGTGCCTGAAACCGGACCACGCCCAAGGAAATCTGCATAATACGACGCATTTCAGGCTACCACAAATCCAACCAGTTATTTATGGCGAGTTTGTTGCGATCATGTAGTTGGATAGTTTACATTTTCATAAAAGCAAAATTTTTCGACTTAATAGTACAGAATTATTTCACCTGGAAAGACCATTCATGTCAGAATGAGTTTCAGAACAGAAAAAAGAAATGAAATGTGAATCATCACTGTTTCATTTTTGTTTCAGTCTTCTATTATGCACATTGCCAGTGTCTTTTCTTCACGATAGGCCAAGAAATAGAGCGGTGAGATTCATTAGCTAACGGTGTTTTATACAGTGTTTCCACTCCTTCAAGTTCATAATTGTTGCAAATGAATGCGTTTACAAAAGTAGTTTACTTAACCAACTACAAATTGTTTTTACTAACTCCTTATTAATTTGCCAACTACAGAATAATTTTTAATATTGTAAAAAACATTTGCAAAATACAAAACAGTTATAGAAAGGAAAAATCTCTAACTCTACTGAAAGCGACAAGTAGGAAGAGTCGTCCGCTTCGCTACTAAAGCTTTATTTCAGTGGCTTATTTTAAAAAGACTTCAGCAAATCCGACCTCTCTTGCCTTTTTCTTGAAGAAAATAATACTAATGGCAGCTTTACAAGTAATGTATTAACTAGCTGCTAATAAAAAAAGTGGTAAAATGTTTTCAAGAGTAACTATTTCGTTATTGAGCGACGTAGCGTTGCACTGAACGAAATCCCTCTCGTTCAATCGGTTTACTTCGTTTCAATGGACGAACTCCGACGACAAAAAGCGAATAGAGCAGACTTATGAGCTCTAGAAGCTCAAATTTTCATCTTAATGATTTAAGTAGCTTTGTGCCTTTCTGATAAAAAGTGCAGATCTCAGCAACCTTTGCTTTCACCTAGGAATTCCGGAATGTTTTTTCCACGTTAGCAAAGTCCATCACAAGTTGAAATGTGCTTGTTAAGAGCTGAATAACTAAACGATTTCCGTCCACTTATGATCGATATGCGGATCACATTGTCATCCTTTGGTCGGACATAGTTTAAATAAACTAAATGCTACTATTTAGGTTAGTAGTTGGTTAGCTACTATTCAAAAAAAGCATATTTGATAGGATCAAAACAAGCACTGATGGCCGAAGGATCAGAAGTCATTCAATGAACGTGTCTTCCTGAAATGCCCATTAATAGGATCTTCAGACTAAATCTGCTTTGCACCGAATATGTTTTCACTCAGTCAACCGTTTGCAGCTATTTTAATAAAAAAAAGCAGCTTCTCTGCTTCCACGTTCGCTGTCAACATTATTTTTTTACTTTTTTTATATTTATTCTGCTTCATTCCACTTGGAGCTTCCATCCTCATTCATTTAGGATCTCATATCTCGAAAAGAGATAAAGGAGGGCGCATGTGGCTCAGTGGTTGGAGGCGCCACTGCAACACACACACGGAATCGAACCCAACACCCACGGCCAACTAAGCCTTCCATCGCTCCGGGGTCGGCAAATTGGTGCCAGACTTGTCTGGGAGGATATCAACACTGGCTAGATACATCGGTAGGCCACCGCGAGTCACTGTAAGCGCCAAATATGCATTTAGTCACCTCCAACGATTCTTACACTTTAGAAACTTCTCATCGGAGCTGGGGCAGACTTTCGCCAAGCTGTCGTCGGGATTCCAGGAAGCCACAATGGCTTAACCAGCAAATCTCCGAAAAATGGTGATTATGCTGGGGCCCGCGCAACTAGTGAGGACGGGCGGTTCAAGTTCAAGTAACAAGTAAGAGTATGTTCATTCGCTATATTGGATTTTCATCAGTATTGATTTTGTAGGTCAAATGAAATTTTCGGACTCTTAAAGAACTATTAACGGACTTAGTAACAATATTAGTTACATTCTCCAACTTCAGTTACGAAATGAAAACTCCTACGATGGTTTTGACCAAAACTGTGGGGAGAACTTGGCGTCTCTTCACATTTCCGTTGCTCAAATAGCAGAAGACTTTCCTCAATATTCTGTAAATCAATAGTTATTAATGGTACGTCATATTTTCTTTCTCAACCACCAGACATCTACTGCTTTTTCTTGTTCGGAGCAAAAAGTGCTTCGTTCAAGAAATCGTTCATCACTCCAGCCATTATTAATTTCGAGGAAGCTTAAGTCAATAATCTGGCAAAGTTCTAAGGAGATTTCAAGCATATTGCTCATGCATTAAAATCGACTCATATCGCAATTCCAGGAATTCTATTTCATGCGGCAGACGATTAGTTGGAAGACCACAGCCGCCCGGCCACACCCTTACTGACACGTCCACTTAGTCAATTCGAGTCAACGATTTATTTTCATCATCAACCTAAATGATTTTTCAAAGGAAGACAAAGGTTTTTGTTTCGTCGCTAAAATAAATGACATAGGTAATCGATAACGCGCAAAACGTTCGGTATGTTCCCTTTTTATCGATTCCTCAATTAGGTTAATACTTTCGATGAAGCGATCGGGTTCTCAGTTTACTCACCTCCGCCACCACCACCGGTGCCGCCGGAGACATAGTTTCCGCTTTGCCGAGATTGTGATCGAACAGCAGTTCTCGGCTGAATCGTCGAACGGTACTGGATCTCATATTCCGACGCCGAGTCAGGCTTTGACATCTCCTATAAACAACACTAATGTGTTCTTTCTTATTATAATCTATTACAGACGAAAAAATATCTATGCGACTAACAGTATCGATGAGTTTTTCCATAGGGAACGGTAACATGAGGACAGGAAAGGAGAAAATTATTGAGTAAGAGCACATAACAACACAGCAATTGCCACCACTGTTAATAGGACGACGGTCAATCAATAAGACATATACAACTGTTGTGGAATCAGAAGGTTCTGGAAGATGACGAGCATTTAAAGGTATCGCTAGTTGATTTTTAGGTCGAGAGTTGAGCAGAATCTCCGATTCGTATCAATTTTCCAACCAGCCTTCTTCAGAAAATCTTATTTGGGCTCCTAACACGGAATCCCAGCAGGGTTTTCGAGTTTTGTAACGCACATTTCTATACTTGACACAGAGAATGGGGTGATGAGAAGAAGATGGAAATAAAGCCATATGAAGAAGTGTCTTCATTCCTTACGCTGGCAAAATACCCACTAGTTGAGACCTTTTTCTCGTTATGAAAGGGTTTCCCAGAAAAAGGAGACGTATAGTAAAATCGCTTGAATCAATCAACCAACAAAAGATTTGCGATGATGACATAAAAAATGAGGTCATGGATAAACGTCAAAGAAAACTCGTAAGAACCAGAGACGAATGTACGATTAGAATTGAACGTAAACTTCCTCCAAATCTGCAAAAACACATCAGTGGGAAAATATTGAACGAATAAAAACAAAAAAGACATTAATCTTACAAAACAAAAATAAAACGATGGTAAATGATACTTCGTCAACATACGGAAGGCAGTGGATAGATCAAGGCGTACTGTAGCGTCTGACTATAAAAGAACTCGTATCGTCCCAAATGTGAGTGCTAAATGAACTCAAGGCTTATAGTGCTGAGCAATGTCAGTTTTTTCTTTCATTCATAAACATCTCTTACTAGATTTTATGTATTATTATGAAAATACACTACAACACAAAAATGTATTCAAAGTAATACAAAGCAAAGAATAAACACTTTCAGATGTGTTGTGAACTAGAAGATCACGTGCTCTTCTAAAGACTTGGTAGAGTCTAGATATTTAGTAGTAACAGGAAGAAATCCGCGTGCTCCAGCTAACTTAGTATTACGTAAGTTCCTTTTCATTTTAACTACCTGGTTAAGGTGAAATACTAAATTACTTATGATGCCTTCTGTTCTCATGTAATTACAGTTTTATGCAAATACAGAAAAATACTTAGCGCAATATGTTCACCGAAGAGATGACGTCATAATTTTAAAGAGCTACTCAATTTTTTGGGTATTTTTGTTTTCGTTAACCACTTAAAACAGCCACGGTTGAGTGGGATGTTGTGCGTCGTTGGAAAAAGGCCGATACTGAGAAAAGGAGCAACCATTAAAATCCGTTGAGATGGGTTTTTTCGCCGTCTGAAATGATGGCCGTCAGTTGATGTCTTGTTAGCAAATCTGAGTTGACAATTTCTATAGGACTGGAAAATCTCATTCCACCAAAAAAATTTTTATGGAGTAAGTTCTTGTACGTTTTCTATTTGTCAACCATCATCAGAGTTGAAGCGAGCCTGTTGAGTAAGTGAATAATAAAATTGATAAAAAAGGATGAAGCTCTCGGCGTTGATCAATCCCTGAGGGATGCACTGTGCATTCGACTTCATTATGCATCGTTAGAGGTAACTGAATACATATCTGGCCTTTACAATGACTCGCGGCGTCCTACCGATTTAACCAGGTAGTGCTGCCATCCTACCAGACAAGTCTGGTATCAGTTTGCCGACCCCGTGTGATTGAAGGGTTGGTGGGACATAGGCGCGGGGATCGACTCCACGTGTGTGCTATAAGGCGCCTCCGACCACTGCGCCACGTGCGCCCCTACACAGTGAGTGAATATGTAAATATTTTTTATAATTTCGTCCAACAATGCACAAGAAAATGCTCTCGAAGAGTTTTCAGGTAATTTTTCTCTACTTCATGGATTCAAATATGGTGTAATATTTCTATACCCATCCATGTACGATTGTTGATTGGTGGTTTGGTTCATATTTAGTCATTTAAGCACTGCATATGGACAATCCGAAAAAATCGATTGCATGTTGTTTCCAGGCTTATCCCTGGTGATGGTAATGTGCAGGAAGTGATTGGATAACGCAAGCAACCGGTACGAGAGCATGACGATAGCAACAAATATCACCGTCACCATGCTAAGGACGAAATGTCAATAGCGATGAAAGAAGAAACACATAAAATAAAAGGAACATAACAACCGACCGTTTCACTTATCTAAGCGATTTTATTCCAACTAGACGAAGAACTATCCAAGGATGGTTTAAAAATAGGATTCGAATGTGTATGGTCTATAAGACTGGCCACGGTAGTTATCAGCACTCTAGGTACAAAACCAACAAGAAAAAGCTTCATCTAAAAACTGATGGATGATAAGAGTACAAGATTTTTGTCTCAGTTTCTAAGAATGGCTTTCACATAAAAGGTTTCCTTTAATTGTAACTGAAACGAGACGAGTCTGACATGCAAGTTGAGCGCTGACTTTGACAAAAAAGGGGAATATTTTGTCACAAATCAGAATAAGAATGAAAAAAAGACAAAACGAAAGCGCCACGATTGTTGTTTGAATATGGTGGAAGTTAGTGAACACTCTCAATGTTTTGCTATGAATAGAAGATTGCTATCTCAATAAGAACTGGGAAACCAGAATTCTGTGTCACTGAATTCTCAATGAGTCAGCAAAGGAAGGCTCAGTGTTAGCTAGCAACCACGAAAAAATCTCGTCTCTTTCAGAAAAAATGTGAGTAAAGTGTTCATAGTAACTCATTGGACGTCATGAAGAACCTCACAAAGATCAGTGCCAAGTGCAAATTCGTCAGAAATACCTTCTCGGCGCCGACGATTAGTGCGTAAACTGTGTGCTAGCCCGCCCCGTAATCCACCTCCGCCACCGCCTACTTGTCCTCTCAGAAGTTCCGATTATCAGTAGATCAAACACTCTTCGTCCAAAAACTTGTTTCGCATTTTTTCTGAGACAGGTCCCGCTAATCGGTCAAGTGGTTTTCAGCAGTGCAACGGCCGGCGATCGGCAAGTTGAGATTGTGAAGCGTTAACCTATTGACTGAAGACCTTATAATCTTTGCCACAGATATTTAGGAGGTCGATCCTTACAAAATGTCAACTTTTTGCTTACTGCTTATTATTACTCTTTACGGCAGGATATAGGGTGAAATACAACCACTATGACGCTGAGATATTTGCGGAACTTGGATCCAAGGTCAGATAATCTAGCCACCTCCCAAGAAACTAACAGGGGCGGATAGTACAGTGGTAGTGATGTCCCTCATTACGAGCATGGTGCTAGTTCGATTCCAGCTTGGGCCAACTGACTCCCTCACCCATCTAGGATCGGGAAATTGGTAGCGGACTTGTCTGGGAAAGAATCACACTGCAGACGAATCGGGAACGCCTAGCCCGGTTCTCTCAAGACTCCACGGAGAATTACTCGACCAGCATTCTACGACGTTCAAGTTGAAATGAAAATCCTCAAGCAGCAACCGAAGTCGCACATAAAAAGTTGAAATACTTTCGTGGATAGTGGGTGGGAGGAAACGACTCAAATGTGAGAAGTGCTGGGATCCGCACAGTAAACGTGAAAACGGATCATATAAAATAAAAAATAGCGTATTACGCACGGCAACATTGAGGGTCTTGTTTTACCTTCCTCTCAGCAATTTTTCACGAATAATTGCTGATGATAGCGTTAGGTAAAAAACTGGCCGAGTGAAAGGCAGAAAGACCCTCAGTGGTGAAGTGAGTAACACGTGAGCCTCTGTAAAGAGTAATCGCGGTTTCAATCCAACCTACACTCCAAGCTTTGCAAACAACTCAGCGTTTTAGTGATCCTTACACATTTTGTTAGCCCTAGAACTTTCTTCTTTTTATTCGCAGTCTAGCAGCTGTCTTCTATGAAACTGGTTCCACTTCCTATGTGGCTTCCGTTGCAGCTTATCAATTTATCGCTTCCTATCCACACTAACATCATAATGCTGATTTTGTTCGCTTCTCATGGAAACCCAAGATATCCTTGCTACAGCGTTCTCAATTATTTGAAAAGTGGATTGAAGAAAATGTGCAGTGATTCTTCCGAATAGTCACTTTTTATATTGCTATGTTTACTGCTAGCCACACGTATCCTTGAATTCCAGAGCATTTCTCCAATTTCGTCGTAGCACACGTCGTCACCAGCTGGCTTAGGTTTTGCCTTGTATTTGGCTAAAAAGTGCTTGTAATCCCATGACATATCAACATCTGTGCACATAAAAACCCAGCCGTAGAGAGTTCGTACTTTCTTTATATGTGAATATCTGTATAAGTAGGAACGTTAACTAAAAGTTATTCACGAACTACATGAGTGTGATTTGACTTTAGACGACGCGTAGACAGCGTCAGAATCCTGTAATATCACAGTATTATCTCGCTCGATGTTATTCACACACCCCTCTCCTTTGATATGAATAGACCAGGACAATCCGCTAAAAAACCCATACTCGATCAAAGTAGATCATACTGAAGCCGGAAGTCGTTCAACAACCTCTCTATATAAAAGGGAATCGCCGAATGAAACTCTTCATTTGAGCTGTTCTCATTCCTCCGAATTCGATTCGATGCGACAACGAATATCCACATCGCCACAACGACTAACTGTTGACCACCGACTCAAATCAACGCGACCCTGAGAAAGACCAAGCAGTCCGCAGAAACGTTAGCTGAATAAAAGTTTATACGGACCTCGTGTTAGATCATTTATGTATAAAACTATTGGTCATCGCTACCGAGGTTCAATAGAAGTCGGTTTTTAAGGCCTAGATAATGGTATTTCCGCTTCACACCTCTGCATCGTTGGCATATTAAAGTTGTATTAAAGTTAAAGTCACTCCTATTGTAACAGCTATGCGTTCCTAATATAGCAACTGTCTA